TAGCATTGGGTTACTTCGGGTAAGTTCTTAAATGTTTACAATATACTACAATATAAGCTATTGAAAATACCCAATAATCCATAACAATTTGACAAGTCTAATATATGTTACAATCAAGAATATTTCTTCTGGCAGTATTTTTACAGTGTAATATTTGTAGATTACATTAACTATATCGTTGTGTAGCATTTAGCAAAGCTTCAAACACTACTATTCACCAGCTAGAAATTGCACAAAGTCAGGCTCTAAGAAGACTTTTCAAAGTTCCATGGTACATTAGGACGAATGACATCCTCAGGGACATCAAGATTGATTCCATCAAAAAATACATAAAGGATAGAGTCCTGAAATTATTTCCGAAAACTGACAGACTTACCAACACCGTGTTGTCAAATCTCAGAATGGTTACAGGCTCCTCGGAGAGGTATGCAGATCTGAGGTCAATTATTGCTTAGTCTGATTAAGAGATAAACAATAATCTAGTCAAGGTGTAGTGAGGAATTTTGAAGAAACCTCGAGTTAAAAAAGAGTGTAAGTGCTTAGCTCAAAACAGCTTCAACATAATAAGAGCGGAAAATCTTCCCTAACAATATAGCTGTATATACTATGAATGAAATACGTAGCAGTTGTATTGTAATTATTAGGAAGTGCCAAGAGAATATTTATCATTTAAATGAAATGAAAACTCCGATCGAATGAGATAAGATTTGTGGTGGCATTTACTATATTACAATGGATGCGTTGTTAACTTCAGTTAATTAATTGATTTTCGAGGACTTAGGGAAAAATAGTGATTATGCAGAGTATCGCATTTCATTAGTTAGCAACCTTCAAAATATCAACTACAAATTGACGTTGGGTACGTAGAAAAAGTGATGGTGTAAATTATTGCAATTTCTCATTTGGAAAAAAAATTAACATCTTGGTTATAAGATACGATCTAATAGGATTTTAGAATTTCGCATTTTAAATCAATTAATAAGTGGTCATATTTTAGGTTCTGCGAATGACAGAGATCTAAAATTTTTTGTATTGTAAAGATAACAAATTAAACTGTTTGTAAATAATATAAACAATTAATATTGCTTATATTTGAATAGTTATATTAACCGCTTGTGTACAATAATTTTTTATTTTGATTCACCATAATATTATTATAAAAACTTGAAATTTTCTTAATAGAAATATTTTAAAAAAATTAATTTTTTTTGTTCATTTATTTATTTTCTTATTCGAAATTCAAAAAAATTAAAATTTTCAGATGGTAATAGTTTTCAAATTGTTTTAAAAAAATAATTAACTTATTATGAGTGTAAAAACGTGTACTTCATACATTTCGTATATATATTAAATTTTAATTAATTTAACTTTAAAGAAATATATTACCAAAAACATTAATTTTTGATTTTTAGTTACAATTATTTGAAATAAAGTAGTTATTAAGTTCTAACTAAATACTTTTTTTTTAAATAATATTATTTTAAAAATAATACTGAATACGACTTGAGATTGATGTCGATATATTGAAAACAAAATAAAAATTAATATAAATTAATTTGTTGTTTTTCTTAATTTTTTTTTGTAACCATAGTTTAAACTACTTGGTCAATTAGTCTAATAAAACGAAATATTAAGAAAATTTTGGTCATAAACTAATAAATATTTAGAAGTATTTTTATAAAATTTTGGAATTTTAACAATATGTTCAGACCGCCAAATTTCCTTAATTTCGTAAAAATGAAATAAAGTTAGTGTCGAAAGTGTTCATACTGCCTCATTTTAAGGAAATCATATGTTTTTTGTTTACAAATCAAATGTTAAAAATTGCATGCTCCAAACACCATTTGTGTCTGGGAAATTTTAAAAGTTGATTATTATAACTATAAAGGATGGCATTCAGTAATTTTATCAGCTTTAGTGAATTATAGGTATGTAAATTATTATTTTTCGCTCTATTTTAAATTGATTACATTTACAGTTAATTCTCTGTAATTTAAAAATATTTACTACTTTCTTCTTCTTTTTCTTCTTCTTGAGTTAGTCCTATTACGCATTTTTACTCTATAATGGCTGGGGGGCTTATCTCTACCCCACACTAGGCTTTAACTAGGTTAAAAAAAAATCATATCATTTATTTGCCTTTTAGTTGATGACGGACCTTAAATCAGCATATCTTCCTGAGAGTCCAGAAGTGGACATTTATTTAAAAAAAATGTCACTTTTTCGTTATCTCAACTTTTTTTTGCTTAAAATTTAACTAACGCATTGTTGCATTTTAAATGTCCCTTAATTTCAGCCTTCATTTCAACGAAATTAAGCGCATTTTCCTTAATTTCGTTCTAACCTCAAAAGTGATTTTTGTATAGAAAAAATAACTTAATTTCACTGAAACGAAGATGAAATTAAGATTTTTTGTGTGTCAAGTAAATTTTAAAATGTATATCATAAAAAATATTTACTTTTTATATCTAATTCGGATTAAGCATTAAATTGTTTTTACGATTTTTAAACGGTTTTATTTTAAGAATTATTTTTAAAAAATTAATTAAGCGTTTACCTCAGTCTGTAGCTATTTATCTATTAATAGGAAAATTATATTCTACTAATAAATGTAGCCGCTATTTAATAATTATCACTTCAACTTTAAAAACAGAAAGTTACTTTATACGCAAGTAATTAGACCTGCACTACTGTACGGTTGTGTTACATATAGCAAAGCCTCAAATACTACCTTAATCAATTACAGATAGCTCAAAATCTGGCTTTAAGAAAACTGTTTAAGATTCCATGGTACATATATTAGATCATCAGACATACATAGACATCTTAGGATTAACTTAGTGAAAAAATATATCAGAGACAGAGCTCTAAAATTATTCACTAAAGTTGATACGCTAATTAACCCCGCCCTAAGAATCCTCAAGTCCACTTCTGGACTCTCAGGAAGATATGCTGATTTAAGGTCCGTCAGCAACTAAAAGACAAATAAGTGATATGATTTTTGTTTAGCCTAGTTAAAGCCTAGTGTGGGGTAGAGATAAGCTCCCCAGCCATTATAGAGTAAAAGTGCGTAATAGCACTAACTCAAGAAGAAAAAAAAAAAAAAGAAAAAAAAATATTTTACTTAACGACAGCATTTTCACTGCAGATTTATAAAAAATATAAATTCAAATAAAACATAAATAAGTAAGTTATAAGTTGTATGAACAATTTTAGCAAAGTATGGAATTAAATGATCCACAAAATCAAAACTGCATTTTGAAAATATAATAAAAAAATCTTTTTCATATTCTTTCTTTGATGTTTAAACCTTTTTAGAAAGCACTCACTCCATTCTCTCATAAAACCCTTTTAAGTTCCTTTTTCACTGGTTTACGAGTAATATTATTTTCTACTAAAAGATACA